TTTCTGATGAAGGGTCTAGGCCCGAAACGTCAGCCTCTCTGCTCCTATGATGCTGCTTGGCCTGCTGTGTTCATCCAGCCCTGCACCTTGTTGTCTGGAAAAACTCAGCAGTCTGGCAGCACCTGTGGAGAGAAATCAGAGTTCACATTTCGGGTCCAGTGACCCTTCTTCAGAAGTAGGCATGCAGGTGCAGAATGGGGTTAAGAAGGCAAATGGTATGTTAGCCTTCAAACTGAGAAGATTCAAGTACAGGAGCAGGGATGTCTAGGTACAACTATACGGGGCTTTAGTGACACCACTTCTAGAGTATTGTGTCCTGTTTTGGTCTGAGGAAGGTGTTCTGGTTACGGAGGAAACGCAACAAATGTTTACCAGACTGACTCCCGGAATGGCCAGACTAATGTATGAAGGGAGACCGGATTAGTTAGGACTGTATCCACTGGAGTTTACAAGAATAAGGTGGATCTCATAGAAACCTATAAACTTCTAACAGTGCTCGACAGGATAAAAACAGGATGTTTCCAATGACCCAGGGAGTCCAGAGCCAGAGGACTGGCTTTAGGACTGAAATGAGGAGAACTACCTTCACGAGACAGTGGTGAGCTTGTGGAATTCTCGGTCCCCAAAACATTACCTAGGGTTGTGGGTTAACAGCCCAGCAAGAATACCTACACCATTGGCTCCTCTGACCAAGAATAAACAAAAACTAATGTTCAACAAGGTCAAGCTGATACTCATCCATTGGTCAAACCTGCCATTGCACATCCAAACCAGCTGCACTGAAATGAAGACCTTGTGCAGGATTCCCCAGCACTGTTGTCGATAGGGCCCTCAACCGGGTCCGATCCACTGCCCGCACTTCCGCCCTCACCCCGTCTCTTCCACACCATAAGAAGATCAGCTGCCATTTCTGCCATGTGTAGCGAGATGCCAACAGCAGACACATATTCCCCTCCCTTCCCTTGTCTGCCTTCCACAGGGATCCTTCCCTCTGGAATACTATGGTCCACTCTTCCTTCACTCCCAACACTCCCGCAAAGTTTCACGGTAACTTGCCCTGCAACCACTGAAGGTATAATACCTGTCCCTCCTCCATCCCCAGTATCCAAGGGCCCAAACATACCTTCCAGGTAAAGCAGCACTTTACCTGCACTTCTCTCAACCTAGTCTACTGCATTCGCTGTTCACCATAGAACAGCCTTCATTGTCATGTGCACTCAATGAGTGCAGTAAAAAGTTTGTAATGTCACCTTTCAGCGCCACCTTAGGTACAGATACTTTAAGTTTGTGGTCTCCTCTACACTGGAGAAACAAAGCATAGCTTAGGTGATTGCTTCACAGAACATCTACATTCTTCCCGCAATAAAAAGACCCTGAGCTCCCAGTTGCCTGCCACTTTAACACATCACCCTGTTCCCTGACCAACATCTCTGCCTCAGGCTTGCTGCAGTGTTCCAGTGAAGCTCAGAGTAAGCTGGAAGAACAACACCTCATTTTCCACCTGAGGACCCGGCAGCCCTTCGGACGCAATATCAAGTTCAATAATTTTCAGGCTTAAACTCTCCCAAGTCCTAGCCCCTTACCCCACACACCAGGCCTTGTTATCACGTTGTTTGCCATGACACACGACCTCTTGTTCGCCACTAACAGTCTCTACTAATAGTTATTCACCATCCCAGCCAGATGGTTATCCACTCCTTTGTCTGTCCAACTGTTTTTCTCTCTCGTTGGGCTCTAACCCCACCTATCGTTTACTCCTTACTCCCTCCCGCACCCTATCTTCTGCATATAAACTAACACTTTCCCAGCTACGTTCAGCTCTGAGGAAGAGTCACTGGACCCAAAATGTCAACACTGATTTCTCTTCACAGATGCTGCCAGACCTGCTGAGCTTTTCCAACAACCTCTGTTTTTGTCTCTGATTTACAGCAACCACTGTTCTTTTGGTTTTTAACAAATTAACTCATGACAGTCCACAGGATTCATATAAAGTAAAATTACACATGAAGCTGCATCAGGGGTCATTAAGTCAGATAACGAAAGAATTGGTCAAGTGGTAGGCTTTAAGGAGACAAATTGAAGTAGACAGGCAGAGAGATTTAAGGATGAATTTCCAGAGTTCGCAACTGATGTGCATGAAAGCACGGCAACCAACTATGGAACAATTACATATGGCCAAGTTCAAGAGACCAGAACTACAACAGCACAGATATTTAGAAGGTTGTGGAGCAGCAGGGGATTACAGAGGTAGGGAGCAGTGAGATCATGGAAGGATTTCAAAATGTGGATAGAAATGTGAAGTATGAGAGGTTGCTTGATTGGAAACTAATGTAGGCCAGCACTGGGTAACAGATGAACAGACTTCTATGATGCTGCTTGGCCTGCTGTGTTCATCCAGCTCTGCACCTTGTTGTCTTGGATTCTCCAGCATCTGCGGTTCCTACTATCTCAGATCAATAGACTTGTTGTGATTAAAATAAACGTGACAATAAATGATTCAATTTAAGAAGAGTCAGACATCCTGCTCACACTGAGAGTTGCCTCTGAGGAAGCTGGATCAGTGTCAAGGACTCTCCATGTGTAAATAAAGCGTGACTTGGTGATGGGAGACTGGTCTGTATGGATTTATTTAAAAAAGGGCAGCAGAGTTTTAAAACACGATGCTTTAGGGTGTCCTGAAAAGCATTCCTGAAGGTGTCAGACATACCCATCGACTTTTGTTCAAACAAAATGGAGAAGTATCATTACGGAAGCACTGACCATATTGAGAGTCTTCTCAAAAAGGTGATGTCTGAGGGACCTGACACGCATTCAAATAACCCACCCAGTGGCCCTTCAAGGACCATCTGTCTCACATGTGGCAAGGTCTGCAGATCCCACATTGAGTTTATTAGGTTAACAGACATAAAAGCAGACCGGAAATAAGTCTCCTTAATGCTGAGGAACTAAGATAGAAGGAAGAGAGTAGAAATGTATGTGATTAGGAAGATGATGCATAAATGGACCTGAACGTTTGAGTTCCCTGGGCAGCCAGTAAATCTCAACCTGAGTACATTCTTCACCTGGACTGCATGTCCATCTTCCTCTACTTGCTGGTGGAAAGGTGAGACATCTGCAAACAGCTCCTTTGCTGCTGCCTCAGCTTTGATCTAATGCCAAATGATGGTCTTTGGATACATTCAGAAATTCAACTGCATGGTTTAGCATGAGGACAAACTAAAGGTCAGCCCAGGAGACACTGAGAAGCTGACTGTGATGCTAAGGTTAGTGGAGTAGATGACTAATGACTTAGGCCAGACTTGAAAATTAAAGTCAAGTGAGTTTTGGATATTGCCAAAGGTGCTGGCAGAATGTATGTTCTGCTGATCCTTCTGATTAATGCCCAATGTCATCGAAATTGTAATAGTCATGTCAAAGATGATCAAGATTGTGAAATAATGCCATGCAAACTGAGCTATTTTCAGATGAAATTTCTCATCAGGCCCCTCATAACTTCCAGCCTCCAATTTTCCTCCAACATTCTTCGAACAGTGGAATTTCCTATGCAAGATGTTCCTCCACTCTCTGAACAACCTCAATCCCATCTTCCACACAGACAGAATTGAGCATATTACTTTGCTGACTTCCTGAGGCCAGAATCCCCAGTAACAGGCCCTCTATGCGGGGTCCCCTTTATCCTTGGCTGCCTTGTGGCGGGCTGAATACAGAGAACCTCAACATGGACTATTGTTGAGTCGAGGATGGACAGGCCTGTTGCTCGGCTCACTCAGGCAGTGCCTATTTTTAATGGTGCGGTCAATGGAGATGGGACACGTGGTGTCTGCTTGAGACGTTAAATAACTGATAATGAGTCATTCAGAACCTAATCTGCAGGGTCAGTACTGTAAAAGATGGTTTAATTATGATTTAATTTATTGACGTTTTTATGTTTCATGGGTTTTGTTAGATGTACACTCTGAAAATTGGAAAACGTTTGTTCAGTTTTCCTTAGGTTATTGGCATGCGACAAAGTTTCTCTTTCAGGATTAATTTAGAAAGAAAACATTGACACCAGCCAAGTACCTTTTCAGGAAAGAGGGATGATTGTCCATCTTATAATTTTAAACAATAAATCTAAATTAACATTTGAAGGACAAGGGTAGCAGATACACCAACAAGTTCCCCTCGAAGTCGCTCACCATTCCGACTTGGAAATATATCACAGTTCCCTTAAGGCCCCTGGATCAAAATCCCAGAACTCCCTTTCTAACAGCGCTGTAAGTGTCCCACACCCAAAACAATGCAGTGGCTTGAAAAAAAATCCCAGCTCACTACCACCCCCTTCAGGGAAATTAGAGATATGCAATAAAGTCCCAGCCAATGAGTGACATCACATCCAGCGATCAGCGTTCATTGAAACCGAAAGTGGAAGTTTTTAGGGTATTCCGCTGCGTAGGTTTCTCGTCTTCAAAGATCTGCTGGAAAAGAGCGAAAAGTCTTCGATCAAATTGCTGCAAGTAAGTAACGAGCTCGAAAGATTCTTTATTTTCGGGGGTAGGTTTTATTTCCAGTGGAATTGGGACGTTGTTCTTCACGATGAAAGATCCCAATTAAACACAAGGAGCCAAACCGGGCCCAGATGGGAACTGTTCAATGAAATGTTTTAAACTTTAAATTAAAAAAAGTGTCTCTAATCACTTATCAGAGTGTGGAACTGGGTCCTGTCAGTGTAAAGGAACAGGAGCGGGAGGATTTTTTTTCCACATTAAAGCCATCCGCGTTAGACATTGCAACCAGCAAGAGACACGGAAGTAAAAGTCGTCTTGTAAAAGTCAGACTATGAAACTTTGCTGTGTTTATATTTCAAATAAAATCAATCATTCAGCCCGAAAGAACGATCATCTCTTGAAATAAATCGTTAGTCCCCTGGTTTTAAATGAAGGTTTTCTCGGCACTGAGTGCGGGTCGCTCCTTTGCTGAGGCAGTGAATACTGTAAGACCGTGAAATGGAATGAGAGCCGACCCCACCCCCAAATCCCTGGGACAACACACAACGGCGCCCCCGAGATTAACTTTAAATCTTACAGACGGTGGGATTCGGACAAAAATTAGGAACAAATAATTAAATACTGAAGTGCGGAGTTGATCAGTCAAACTACAAAGCAGGAAGATCTATATTCTGACTGTTATATCCTTAAAACGGAAGGAGGAAAAATTCTTGAGCGTAAAAGTGTGTTCAGGGATTTTTTTTGGAAACAAATCGGAGCCTTTGCAGGTCTGGAAGGGAAAAGAAGAGACTGAAAGTGAATGAAAACCCTGTGTGGGACATAAGTTTGTGAAGTCCACTTTGAGACCATTGGGCTGCAGGTTTACCAAACGGAATATGAGGTGCTGTTGCTCCAGCTTCGGGTGGCATTGTTGTGGCACTGGAGGAGGTCCAGGATGGACATGTCGTCCAAGGAGTGGGAGGGGGAGTTGAAGTGGTTCACGACTGGGAGATGTTGTCGTTTGTCACGAACCGAGCGTAGGTGCTCCACAAAGCCATCTCCAAGCCTCTGCTCGGTCTCCCCGATGTAGAGGAGGCCGCAGCAGAGACAGCGGATACGATATACCACATTAGCAGATGTGCAGGTGAGCATCTGTTTAATGTGGAAGATTTTCTTTGGGCCTGGAATGGAGGTGAGGTGGGAGGTGTAGGGGCAGATGTAGCACTTCCTGCGGTTGCAGGGAAAAGTGCCAGGGGTGGTGGGGCTAGTGAGGAGTGTGGAGCGGACGAGGGAATCACAGAGAGAGCGGTCCTTCGGAAGGCAGATAAGAGTGGGGAGGGAAATATATCCTTGGTAGTGGGGTCAGATTGCAGGTGGCGAAAGTGGCGGAGAATGATGCATTGAATCCGGAGGTTGATGGGGTGATACGTGAGGTCAAGGGGATTTCTGTCTTTCTTGTTATTGCGGGGAGGGGGTGTGAGGGCTGAAGTGCGGGAAACACAAGAGATGCAGTCGAGGGCGTTTTCGACCACTGTGGAGGGGAAATTGCGGTCCTTGAAAAATGAGGACATCTGGGATGTCCAGGAGTGGAATGCCTCACCTTGGGATCAGATGCGGCAGAGGCAAAGGAATTGGTAATAGGGGATGGCATTCTTGCGGGAAGATGGGTGAGAGAAGTTGTATTCTAGGTAGCTGTGGGAGTTGGTGGGCTTGAAATAGATATCAGTTTCCAGGTGGTTACCAGAGATGGAGACAGAGAGATCCAGGAAGGAAAGAGAGGTATCAGAGATGGTCCTGTTGAACTTAAGGTTGGGGTGGAAGGTGTTAGTAAAGTGGTGAAGTGACTTTGTTTGGTACCTGATGAACTGAAGGGGGTGATCTCGAGGTGTAGTCCTTTATCCCTTGTCCGCACGGGAAACCCCTCAGTAAAACCTTCCCTTTCATCCGTATCCAGTCATTGGGTGGATTGCGTTATGGCTTCAGTTAGAGAGATTGAATATGAACATTTTAGATAATACAGAGCCCCTTTTAACAGAATACCTTTAACCTCCGAGCAGATAGTCTGAGGTCACTAAGAAAAGGTGCAATGAGTTGTGTAATGTGCTGCCTTTTAGTGAGGCTTTTCCTTATGCCACCTTCAGTGAATTTGCCATTCATATTAAATTAGTGTCCTCTGATTATCCCGGTGTATGAGAAAGTAGTTCACTCCCACCTTCACAAGGGCAATTAGGAATATAAACTTAGAAAATTAGGATCTGGAGTAGGCCATTCAGCCTGCCTGCCATTCATTATGACCATGGTTAATCATCCAACTGGATAGCTTGTTCATGCTTTACCCCTTGTCCTTCGATCCCTTTAGCCGCAAATGTTATATCCAACTCCCTCCTGAAATCCGATAATGTTTCGGCTTCAACTGTTTTCTTTGGTCATGAATTCCACGGGCTCATCACAGTCTCAGTGAGAAAATGTCTCCTCCTCTCAGTCATAAATGGTTTACCCTGTAACCCTGAGATTGTGACCCCTGGTTTTGGATTCCCTAACATTAGGAAACTGTTTCCCAAGTCTACCCTGTCTAGTCCTGTCAGAATTTTATCGGTTTTAATTAAATCCTGTGTCATTCTTCTGTATTCCAGCAAATAAAATCCTAACCGATTCAACCCCCCTTCATCATCAGTCCAGGCCATGATAGAAATCAATCTGGTAAAGTTTTGCTGCACTCTCTCTATTGCAAGAATATCCTTCCTCAGATAAGGAGACGAAAACTGCACACTATATTCTCGGTGTGGTCTTACCAAGGTCCTGTATAATTGCAGCAAAACATCCCGGCTCTTGTGCTCGAATCTTCTTGATACGAAGACCAAGATATCATTTGCTTTCTTTACCACCTGCTGCACAGCAATGACAGCTGGCGAGCAGTGAAATTCACATCCCAGGAAAAAAAAATTCAAGTCTTGACTCCCCTTTAATGCTAGGTTGTTTTTAGATGAGCAACGATTTGATGAAGGACTCCAGAGGGAGACACAAAACAATACAAGAAGGTGAAAACAATGCAGTGCACAGATATTCGTAATGTTCAGGGCTATTAGACCCGCAGAAATCTATAATACACCAAAAACTTGCTATTAGTGGTACACAGCCTGGTCAACAATAATAGATGAACAATATTGTTTCAAAGAAACTTGATGTTTAATATTATATGGAGACCGTAAATTCTGAAGGATTGTGGAAAAAGGAATTTATTTCAAGAATTGTAGACATACCTGGAGTGGTTTCTTCAGAAGAGGTCATTGAAAGTTCACCTTGGACATTGGTGTCTTTTTTTAAACAAAGCTTCCTGTAAATTTCATGATTGATAATTGCTTTCCTTGCTAATTTACCTTGTGACTGTGTATCAGTGGGACTAACGTGACAGTGCTCTTCTCCAGGCTCATTTGTAACACCATGCATAAAAGATTAATGGTGAATAACTTCTGACAAATAAAGAAACTATGCTTTCTCTCTCTCTCTCCCCCTCCAGATGATGGTTCTCCTGATAAGACCTTAAGATGAAAGCGATTCAGAACATTGTATTATTGCTCCTTGTGATTCTGGCCTCCGTGTATGGTAAGGAGCATTTTAACTTATTCGGAGATAGTAGGAACTGCCGATGCTGGAGTCTGAGATAACACAGCGAAGAGCTGGATGAACACAGCAGGCCAGGCAGCATCAGAGGAGCAGGAAAACTGACGTTTCGGGTCTGAACCCTTCTTCAGAAATGGGGGAGGGGAAGGGGATTCTGAAATAAATAGAGACAGGGGGAGGCGATGATGGAAGGTGGATAGAGGAGCAGATGGGTGGAGAGAAGACAGACAGGTCAAGGAGGCGGGGATGAAGCCAGTAAAGGTGAGTGTAGGTAGGGAGTTGGTATGGGGGTTGGTCAGTGGGATGGGAGGGGTGGGTAGGTGGGAGGGAAGATGGACAGGTCAGGGAGGCGGGGATGAAATGGGCTGTTTTTGGGATGAGGTTGGGGGAGGGGAGAAGAGATTTTGAAGCTTGTGAAGCCCACATTGAGACCATTGGGCTGCAGGGTTCCCAAGCGGAATAAGAGGTGCCTATAACTTGTTCGGTTATTTTACCAGCAACTCTTCAATGGTATTGTTTGTAATGCATCTGAAGATTAATTTTTAAGGTCATAAGATTATAAGATATAGGAGTAGAAGTAGGCCATTCAACCCATTGAAGTTCGGTGAGATCGTGGCTGATCTGATAATGTGTAACTCCACTTTCCTGCCTTTACCCCAGAACCCCTCATTTCTTTACTGTTTAAAACTCTATCTCAGCCTTGAATATGTATACTTAATGACCAAGCCTTGACCCCCTTGTGCAGGAAAGGATTCCACAGGTTCATCCTCTGAGAGAAGAAATTCCTCTTCATCTCTGTCTTAAGTATGTAAGCCCTTGTTTAGATTTTATGCCTCATTCCAGCTTCAGGAGATGTTGTGTTCCCATCCCAACATTTCTGTCTCAGGGCTGCTTCAGTGCTGAAACAAAGCTCATCTGGAGGAACAACACCTCATCTTCTCTCTAGGTACCTTACAGCCCTCGGGCCTCAACAGTAAGTTTAACAATTTCCAAATGAGCAAGTCCTGTTGTCTGGTGTAGTCCCTACAAAGCCCACCTGTATTCACTGTTTACACTTCCCATTCAAACCCTCTCCAGCAATTATCCCTCTCTTGGCTTACCATCAGCAAGCTCTTTGTCTATCTCTTCTCTCTCTCTCTCTGTCTCTCTTTTATTCACTGTCTCTGTAACTCTTTGGGCACTTATACTCGATCAGCCCACAACCCCTTGACCCTAGCCTTACATCGGCATATACCACCCTTCCTCAGCTATTTTCAGTTCTGACAAAGGATCATTGGGCTTGAGATGGTAACTCTACTTCACTCCCTACAGATGCTGCCAGACCTGCTGAATTTCTGCAGCAACTTTGTTTTTGTTCCTGATTTACAGCACCCGTAGTTCTTTTGGTTTTTGTTAGATCAGTATGTTCTGGAACCAATCAAGGAACTGGCTAGTTTAGATCTGGTAATGTGAAATTAGACAGGATTTATGAATGATCTCAGTAAAATATCCTGCAGGCAAAAGTGATCATAATCTAACAGAACTTTGTAAGAAGTTTGCAGGTTTGCAGAATTGTGGGTCTAAAGTTCGTGCCTTAAATTTGTGTAGGATAAAAGATAAGATAGTGGAGAAGCAGTGACAGGAATATATGAGTATATTTCACAAATGGCAGCATGGAATTACGTTAAGAATGAAGAGTCTTTGAGAAGAACACACCATCATTGACTATTTATACATATGATTTTGAATTGAAAGAGAAAGTGTAGGTTCTGCAAAGGTGAATTACAGATTAGAAGATTAGAAGCATTTCAGAAACCAGTAAAGTATCACTAAACACCAAAGAGAAAGTAAATTGAGAAAAAAAATTGAAGAGATATATGAACAGACAAAATTTCTGCAAGTATGTAAAAGTAGAGGCAAAGTAGCTAAAATGGATAATGATCCATTGGGCAATGAGAGTGGGGAATTAATATTCCTTTATTCTTTAATGGGATGAGGGCATCATTGGCTCGGCAGCATTTATCACCCATTCCTAACATCCCAGATGGCAGTTCAGAATCAATTGCTGTGGGTCTGGAATCGCATGTAGGCCCGACCAGGTAAGGATGGCACTTTCCTTCCCTAAAGGACATTAGTGGACCAGATGGGTTTTTCCTGATGATCAGCAATGGATTCATGGTCATCATTAGATTCTTAATTCCAGATATTTTTATTGAATTGAACTTCCACCATCTGCCGTGGCGGGATTCAAACCCAGGTCCCTAGAATGTTATCTGGGTCTCTGGATTAACAGTCCAGTGATGATACCACTAGGCCATCGCCTCCCCTGGCAAAACTTTGAAAAAAAATATTTTACACCTGTCTTTAAATAGAGCAAGAACAAAGCTGGGCCTGATAGACTGGAAGCAAATGTTGGTGGGTACATATTATAACATATTCCCTTCAAAGGGAAGATAGTTGGTTTGGGCACAGTCAGGGTATATTCCCTCAAAAGAGAAAGATAGGTCAAACAAATAAAAAGTCCCTTGAATGACAAAAGTAATAAAATTAACCTCAAGTAGAAAAGGTCCACTTTTAACAGATGGCAGGTCATAAATCTATTTGAGAACAAGCTGAATACGGAAATTTCAAAAGGGAGGTGTAAAAACACATACAAGAAGCAAAGAAGGTTTATGAGAAAGACTTGCAGCTAATATGAAAGGAAATCCGAAAGTCTAAAATAACATTAAAAGGATGTTAAAAAGTGGAGTAGGGCCAATTAGGGACCAAAAAGTGAATTCTCATTTAGAGGCAAAAATCTGTGGCTGAAGTGTGAAATGAGAAATTAGCAACTTATTTACATCTGGGCAGGATGCTGCTGAGACCAGACAGAAGTGGAAAATCAGTCATCAGAATGGTTTCACTGACCTCTACATCGCTGAGCAAGGGAGGCGCAGTTGTAGTATGGCGCACTGACAGCTACATCGCCGAGACAGGCGCCAACTCTCCGACACCACCTCCTACCGCCTCCTTGATCATGACCCCACCCCCGACCACCGAAACATCATCTCCCAAACCATCCACAACCTCATCACCTCAGGTGACCTCCCACCTGCAGCCTCCAACCTCATCATTCCCCAACCTCGCACCACCCGTTTCTATCTCCTTCCCAAAATCCACAAACCCGACTGCCCTGGTCGACCCATTGTTTCTGCCTGCTCCTGCCCCACTGAACTCATCTCCACCTACCTCAACTCCATTTTCTCCCCCTTGGTCCAGGAACTCCCCACCTACGTCCGTGACACCACCCACGCCCTCCACCTCCTCCAAAACTTCTGATTCCCCAACACCTCATCTTTACCATGGACATCCAGTCCCTATACACTTGCATTCCCCATGCAAATGGCCTCAAGGCCCTCTGCTTCTTCCTGTCCCTCAGGCCTGACCAGTCCTCCTCTACTGACACCCTTATCCTCGTCCTCACCCTCAACAACTTCTCCTTCAATTCCTCCCACTTCCTACAGAAAAAGGGTACCCGCATGGGCCCAAGCTATGCCTGCCTCTTTGTAGGATATGTGGAACAATCCCTCTTCGAAGCTACACTGGACCTATTCCCCACCTCTTCCTCAGTTACATTGATGACTGTATTGGCTCGAGGAGCTCGAACAGTTCATCCACTTCACTAACACCTTCCACCCCAACCTTAAGTTCACCTGGACCATCTCCGATATCTCTCTCTCCTTCCTGGACCTTTCTATTTACATCTCTGGCAACCACCTGGAAACCGATATCCATTTCAAGCCTACCGACTCCCACAGCTACCTAGAGTACACCTCCTCTCACCCACCTTCCTGCAAAAAGGCCATCCCCTATTCCCAATTCCTTCGTCTCCACCGCATCTGCTCCCGAGATGAGGCATTCCACTCCCAGACATCCCAGATGTCCTTGGTTTTTCAAGGACCGCAACTTCCCCTCCACAGTGGTTGAAAACGCCCTTGACCGTGTTTCTGGCATTTCCCGCAACTCATGCCTGACACCCCCCTCCCCACAATAACAACCAAAACAGAATCCCCCTCGTCCTTGCGTACCACCCCACCAACCTCCCGATCCAGCGCATCATCCTCTGACACTTCCACCATCTGCAATCCAACCCCACTATCAAAGACGTTTTTCCCTCCCCACCCTTATTTGCTTTCCGGAGGGACCACTCTCTCCGTGACTCCCTTTTGCGTTCCACACTTCCCACCAGCCCCACCACCCCCGGCACTTTTCCCTGCAACCGCAGGAAGTGCTACACCTGCCCCTACACCTCCCCCCTCACCCCCCATCCCAGGCCCTAAGAAGACCTTTCCCATCAAACAGATGTTCACCTGCACATCTGCTAATGTGGTATACTGTATCCGATGTTCCCATTGTGGCCTCCTCTACATCGGGGAAACCAAGCGGAGGCTTGGGGACCGCTTTGTGGAGCACCTACCTCGGTTCGCACTAAACAACTGCACCTCCCAGTCGCGAACCATTTCAACTCTCCCTCCCGCTCCTTGGACGACACGTCTATCCTGGGCCTCCTGCAGTGCCACAACGATGCCACCCGAAGGTTGCAGGAACAGCACCTCATATTCAGCTTGGGAACCCTGCATCCCAATGGTATCAATGTGGACTTCACAAGCTTCAAAATCTCCCCACCCCCGACCGCATCCCAGACCCAGCCCAGCTCATACCCGCCTCCTTGACCTGTCCTTCCTCCCTGGACTGACCTATCCCCTCCCTAACTCCCCACCTACACTCACCTTTACTGGCTCCAACCCTGCCTTTTTGACCTGTCTGTCTCCTCTCCACCTATCTTCTCCTTTATCCATCTTCTATCTGCCTCCCCCTCTCTCCCTATTTATTTCAGAATCCCCTTCCCCTCCCCCATTTCTGAAGAAGGGTCGAGGCCCGAAACGTCAGCTTTCCTGCTCCTCTGATGCTGCTTGGCCTGCTGTGTTCATCCAGCTCTACACCTTGTATTCTCATAAGAATGG